CTGGGAATAAAGAAATAAAAGCAGAGATATTAGGACTTTGTTAAAAATTAATATTTTCTGTTTTTCATTTAGTACTTTGTACTACATTGCTGCCACCTTGTGTCAGCAACAACACACTACAGTATTTCAAGAATAACTAAAGCAAAGCTTTTGTCTTAGCCTTGGACAGAGTGAAGAGGGATAAATATATTATTATACAGGATTTATATAGCGCCAACAGTTTGCACAGCGCTTTACAAAATAAAGGCAGACCTTACAATACAATTTGGTACAAGAGGAAACAGAGGGCCCTGCTCGTTTACAATCTAAAAGTCTAGAACACGTGTCAGTTTTTATTGCTGTCTATACCCTTGTCAGGGAGATTCACCCTCCCTATTTGTTCTGTTTACCGTTATCATTGAAAGCGAAAGTAAAGAAAATCCCACATTTTGGGTTGTCCCCAGAAAAGTAATAGAGGTGAAATCATCCAGTTCTGGTGATCTGGGGGTCCCCATGGGATTTTGCTCAATGTGCAGGGATTTCCTCTCACTTCTTGTGTAACTATGAGACAAGAAGTGAAGGGAAATCTCTGAAACGGAACACAAATGGCAAAAAAAGTTGTAAGATCTTTTACTTTATCAAAAATGATTAAAAAAAACGTTTTGCCTAAAATTCTACTTTAGGCATGAAAAATGCATTGAAAAAAATGCACCATCTACAAATGTAACCAGACCCAGAGCTGAATTACCAAGACGGCAAGCTAAGCAGGAGAGCAGGACCCCATGGACATCCAGGGACACTATTACAAGCTTCATATTCCTGTACCAAACCAGGAGGATAGCACAAGTGGTCAAAGTTCTGTCACTTTACCTGGGAGCATGTACTTGTAGTTAGTCGATGCCATGCCAGACACACAGTGCAAATGGGCTGTCATCACTTTGATCAATGTAATCATTATCAATGTCAATCTAAGCCATGGGGAGGGTTCACAGCTGCTGTGTTTCCTAAGGTACTATTCATTCTTAATCTGTCACTAACCAGAATTAATAATCATCTATTCCTTTACTACATAGCCATACTTATTTGTATAAATTCTGGAAGTAATGATCAGCATATTTTTAAGTCTCAACTTTTTTTCTTTCTCATTATGCTTCCTATTGATTAAACATCTTAAAGCATAAGTGGAAAATGTATGATTTACATATCAAAAAGACCAAAGTTGTAGTTGAGGAAGGATTGAACTATTTGGTATGTTTGAAGACAGTAGGGTTCATTTACTGAAGGCAAATAGACCTGTTAATTTTCAAGTGCAGTTGTATGCTGCAAGGGAATTACCTCCAGAGCTTAGTGAATGGAGTGAAGCTCTGCTCTCCAGTCTCATACAAGAAAAAAAAAATATTGTTTATTTTTTTCCTTGCTTGTGATTTGGTATTCTTTTCCAAGTGAAATTTCACCATATTCGCTAAGCTCTGGTGCAAATTCTCTTGCAAAGCCAAAGACATGCCAGTAGATTAATTGGCTCCTGTTTAAATTGGCCCTAGCATGTATGCATGTAAGTTAGGAACTTTAGATTATAAGCTTCTTGAGGGTTGGGGACTGATGTGAATGTACAATATATACAGTCAGGTCTATAAATATTGGGACATCGACACAATTCTAACATTTATGGCTCTATACACCACCACAATGGATTTGAAATGAAACGAACAAGATGTGCTTTAACTGCAGACTGTCAGCTTTAATTTGAGGGTATTTACATCCAAATCAGGTGAACGGTGTAGGAATTACAACAGTTTGCATATGTGCCTCCCACTTGTTAAGGGACCAAAAGTAATGGGACAGTTGGCTTCTCAGCTGTTCCATGGCCAGGTGTGTGTTATTCCCTCATTATCCCAATTACAATGAGCATATAAAAGGTCCAGGGTTCATTTCAAGTGTGCTATTTGCATTTGGAATCTGTTGCTGTCAACTCTCAAGATGAGATCCAAAGAGCTGTCACTATCAGTGAAGCAAGCCATCATTAGGCTGAAAAAACAAAACAAACCCATCAGAGAGATAGCAAAAAAATTAGGCGTGGCCAAAACAACTGTTTGGAACATTCTTAAAAAGAAGGAACGCACGGTGAGCTCAGCAACACCAAAAGACCCGGAAGACCATGGAAAACAACTGTGGTGGATGACCGAAGAATTCTTTCCCTGGTGAAGAAAACACCCTTCAAAACAGTTAGCCAGATCAAGAACGCTCTCCAGGAGGTAGGTGTATGTGTGTCAAAGTCAACAATCAAGAGAAGACTTCACCAGAGTGAATACAGAGGGTTTACCACAAGATGTAAACCATTGGTGAGCCTCAAAAACAGGAAGGCCAGATTAGAGTTTGCCAAATGACATCTAAAAAAGCCTTCACAGTTCTGGAACAACATCCTATGGACAGATGAGACCAAGATCAACTTGTACCAGAGTGATGGGAAGAGAAGAGTATAGAGAAGGAAAGGAACTGCTCATGATCCTAAGCATACCACCTCATCAGTGAAGCATGGTGGTGGTAGTGTCATGGCGTGGGCATGTATGGCTGCCAATGGAACTGGTTCTCTTGTATTTATTGATGATGTGACTGCTGACAAAAGCAGCAGGATGAATTCTGAAGTGTTTCGGGCAATATTATCTGCTCATATTCAGCCAAATGCTTCAGAACTCATTGGACGCCGCTTCACAGTGCAGATGGACAATGACCCAAAGCATACTGCAAAAGCAACCAAAGAGTTTTTTAAGGGAAAGAAGTGGAATGTTATGCAATGGCCAAGTCAATCACCTGACCTGAATCTGATTGAGCATGCATTTCACTTGCTGAAGACAAAACTGAAGGGAAAATGCCCCAAGAACAAGCAGGAACTGAAGATAGTTGCAGTAGAGGCCTGGCAGAGCATCACCAGGGATGAAACCTAGCATCTGGTGATGTCTATGCGTTCCAGACTTCAGGCTATAATTGACTGCAAAGGATTTGCAACCAAGTATTAAAAAGTGAAATTTGATTTATGATTATTATTCTGTCCCATTACTTTTGGTCCCTTAACAAGTGGGAGGCACATATGCAAACTGTTGTAATTCCTACACCGTTCACCTGATTTGGATGTAAATACCTTCAAATTAAAGCTGACAGTCTGCAGTTAAAGCACATCTTGTTTGTTTCATTTCAAATCCATTGTGGTGGTGTATAGAGCCAAAAATGTTAGAATTGTGTCGATGTCCCAATATTTATGGACCTGACTGTATGTAGAGCACTGAGTAAATTGACAACGCAATATAAGTACCTGTAGTAAATAAAAAGAATAAACTGCTTATTTACCTTAAGTAAATCAATCCCATTATCTAAGACTGGTCATAGTCTAGTCATTTTGACAACTAAGTAGCAAAGAACTGTGTCCCCTAAGGAGTCCCTGCTATGCATGATTCAGTCTAAATAAACATATTGGGAGAAGGCAAAAGAAAGGACTGACCCACTGGTGTTTATAGAATTCCATACTTCAGCTACTGGATTGATGGTTTAGGGAGAAAGGGTAATGAGACACAGTTTGTATTTTTGCCAAGGACCACTATGATAAAAACACAGCTTGATGATAAAATATTATACTAAAGTGTGCTATCGTGCATTCATAAAGACAATCAATCACATTTTTCATCTTTAAAATGTCTGATCTCATTGTGCAGCAATTAAAACTGAGCCAATAATTGTCTATATCATTCAAAAGTGTAATAATTTATTGTATTTATATGTATCTAGGTTCTCCATCTGTAATGGACAGGAAAAAAAAAAAACTGCTGCTTTTATTTTGGAGAAAAAAAATACGAAAAGCCTTTCACACACTTTAGCAGCTTATACACTAGTAGGTAGGTACAAAAATGTATGAAATTGTATGAAAATTCACAATGATTTGATAAATGTACTTCGAAAGTACTTCCAAATTAAAATTGTTTTTTAATTTGATTTTGGAGTGAATGGACTTTATCGCATGAAAACCAAATACACTGTTAGCAATTTGCTTGTTAGAGAAAAAAATTTCCATTCTGCTCCTTCCAATTTTGCCACTGCGGTCGAAAGGGAACATCCATTTTACCCCAGTAATGATTAGAAAACGTTTGTTCAAAAATCTACTAATGCACCAACACCCTGCTTTACCGTTGGCACAAGACCATCCTGGTCATAAGCTTGGGACAGTGTTTGCCACACAAAAACCTGTCCGGTGGTTGGGAACTTGCAGCTCGCCCGTGAATGTTTTGCTTATGGAGCTCCATCTGCACAGTTTTTGCACACACGGTCTTTGAATTACTGAGAATGAGCTCTGCAGTCACTTTTTCAACAGCTGTTTTCTTATTCCGGGTCACAGTCCTGTGCAATGTCCTTTTCTCTCTTTCAGTCAGTTGACCAGGTTGACCACGCTTATGCTTATTAGGTGACATTTTCCTAGAAACTGTATATTCCGTCATAACCTTTCATAGTGTACCTCGCGACATGGCAAATAAATTGGCAACTTCAGTCACAGAGGCACCAGCTAAGTGGGCATTGACAATTTGCTCTCTTTGAAACTCTGTAAGCTCTGACATGACTTCATATTACTAGCAGCTCAAGCATGACGAAAGTGAGGTTTCCACCTGTTAGCTAGATGTCTCATCACACAGCGGAAACAAAAGAATGTTGCATCACTTCCGCTTTCAACGCAAAACGTGTTACTTTCACACCTGCAAATCATTAAAGAGCTAGAAACTTTTTTTTTTACTGCTGAAATATATAGTTGGGGGGAAAGAATTGGTACCCTAAAATAATGGCAATTTGCTGTAAAATAGGTTCCAACACAAATATATAGCATTTACCATTCTATAGTTCACTTTGTTTTGCTCCAGAATGCCTTAGTGATCCTCTGGTTCCACTGTGCCCACCACAGATTTACGACAATTGAAGCCAGAAGCAGCAAAGCAACCCCATAACATTATGGAGCCTTCCCCATGTTTTACAAAAGGGACGGTGTTCTTTTTTTAACCTCCTTGGCGGTATTCCCGAGTGTAGCTCGGGGTAACATTTCAGTACCAAAAGCGGTAACCCCGAGCTACACTCGGGCTTACCCTGCGGCACTGCTCCAGCATGTATTCTTCACTTACCTTACCCTGCGCTCCCACGATGTGTCCCCTGCAGCGTCCCCGGCCATCTCCTCCGGCCGATGCCGGCATCCGGCTTCTGTGTCCTGTCCCTGTGACGTCGGGACGTACGGGCGCCGCCGTCGCCGCCGGCGGCGGGAAATTTAAAAATTTTAAAAAATGTCATTTTTTTTTTTTTTTTTTACATTTTACATAGTAAAACATTGCTGTCTCAACCAATTTCACATACATATTGTCCCTAATGCTTTGTCCTGCGCCCTGCCTGCATTTTGTCTGTTCTTTCTGCCTGGAAACTGAGAAATGTCCATGGCGTCCAAAAAGTGTCCCTTTAGGTCAAAAGCGGTTTTTAGACCAGCTAGAGAACAGCGATAGTAAATCAGAACACTTGCAGAATTGAGTGATAATGATTTGTGGGGAAATTCGTCATCAGACACTGAAAACGATTTTGCGACTGAGCTCAGCAATGTGCGAACTTGGCACTATATTTCACATTTCAGTGTTTTTGGTTTGATTATATTATTGAATTAAATCTTTTATTATTTTTATATTATTTTTATGATTATTTATTAAATTATAATTTATGATTTTGTGTTTCAAATTTTATCATCCCCGGGATGTTTACTAGACTCTTGTTCGGACAGATTTCAGTGAGTTTTTCCTAAAAATTACAGCCTACAATAAAAAAAATACATATTTCCATGCAAAAAAATGGTACCGCTTTTAGCACCAAAAATCTGAAATAATCATACCGCCAGGGAGGTTAAAAGCATAGTTTTTTTTTTCTGTGAACACAGAGCTTGTGTGACTTACAAAATGCTCTAAAAAAAATGTTGTTTTACCTGTCCAAAGGACATTCTCAGAGAAAAGCCGTGGCTTGTCAACATGCATGTTAGAAAACTCCAGTATGGCTTTTCTCTGTCTACTTTTCAGAACTTAGGTCTTCTACCATGAATATTGGAGGTCAGCCATGATCTGTTTTGAAGTTTTCCTTGGTTCTTTTATCCACTATTCAAATTAAGGGCTTGTTCATACCATAGCAGGGCAGAGTGATATGCTGTGATCAGTGTGTTGCACTGTTTACTTTTTTTTTCTTAACTGTCAAAATGACAGTTCAATAAATTCTATTCTCCACAGTGTGTTGCAATGCAGTGTACAGCATCAAGTGAAAAAAATCTGCATACATTTCTTGATAAAATTGGAAGCTGTGGTCACAGGATCATGAAGTTCTTTAGAGACGGATTTCTAAGCTTTACCTTTAACATACCTTTCTGTTACCTTCTTCTTTTCCTCCTCTAACATCTCTCTGCTTCTCTTTTAATTTTCATTCATTGTATGCCATTGTATTCAACAAAAAAACTTGTGAGGTACTGTACTAAAATACTCCGTGCAAATATGTGATTCAATTAGCAGATTGCTTGCACTAAAAACATACTCATACAAATGTGCCAGTGGTAATAAAATATAAAAAATGTGCCGCACTCCACTCAAAATTGTACCAAGCTAAAAACATAAGTGCAAAATTTTTATTAATCCAGCAAAATATAACAAAATGTCCGTATTAATTCCTTGATTATCTTCAATCACTTTATTGCAATATATCAAATGCTTTTGTGTCCCCCTTTGGTGTCTGTAATTATTCAACACTTGTGCACCCCCACCAGTTGTGCGCTCACCTTAGATATATGACCAGACTATTAAGACCATTAAGTGAGGTCATATAAAGCTTGTGTCTCTTTAATGGGGGGGATTGGTATCCAACAGATCTGGATCCCCTTCACTCCTCTAGTTGCTTTCCTCCATTGGTTACAATGTCAAGAAAAATAACCAGAACATAGTGCTTTATCCTTATAACAAGCATTTATTTTGCAGAAATGTTACACTCACATGTGCAGTATGTAAAAGCGCTTTATGCAGAGTAATTGTCTCCAATACATTCTGACCTGTGTGCAGCCAGCTGATATCTATAGATCTGTAGAGCGTCATGATGTCAAAGCCCCTCCCTTACGCGTTACGCCACCGGGTCACATGGCTTCATCAGGGAGATGACCCGGTGGCGTAACGCGTAGGGGAGGGTTTTGATGTCACAATGCTCTAGGGATCTAGAGATCAAGCTTTATATGACCTTACTTAACAGTCTGGTCATATATCTAAGGTGAGCGCACAACTGGTGGGGGTGCACAAGTGTTAAATAATTACACACACCAAAGGGGGATGCAGAAGCATTTGATATATTGCACTAAAGTGATTGAAAATAATCAAGGAATTAATACGATTGTTTTGTTATATTTTGTTGGATTAATTTAAATTTTGCACTTATGTATTCAGTTTGGTACAATTTTGAGTGGCGCGCGGCACATTTTTAATATTTTATTTCATTGTATTCAGTGTAATTCATTTTGCTGCACACTGTGGTGAGTTTCTCTACTAAGGTGGGCTGATTGACTGACTGTGAAATCACCTCTGATAATAAATACAGTGAATAGCCGACTTGGAAGATCACCAAAATCCAAAAATGTGCTTTAACTTCTAAGGGTCAGTTCACACCACAATTTCTGCATTCCGGATGTGTTTCTGCATGCATGTTTTTGATGCATTCCAGCGCATTTTTTCCCCTTTATTTCCTTTGTCTCAATTGAGGACAATTGAGGACATGTGCGTTCCGGTGTTTTTGATGTGTCCTAAGATTGGGCTGATCCCTGTCCCTGGAGCAAGCTGTCATTTTACACAAGCGCTTTTTGATATATTTGTGGAAGATGGTCATAACTCTCCGGTAAGCCTATTTGCACACTGGGGTTTATTTACTAAAGTTGGAAAGTGCAAAATTAGGCTCACCTCTGCATAGAAACCAATCAGATTCTAACTTCAGTTTGCCTGGAAGCTGAATAGAGCCTAATTATGCACCCTCCTGCTTTAGTAAATAAACCCCACTGTGTGTAGATTGATGCATCACCTTGGTTTGCTGTTGAACACTGTTAGCCATGGTTCACAAATATTTGTTTTTGGATGTTTTTTGAACTGCATTGATTTGCATGACATGAAATAAAAAGATTTCCTATAGAGGACGTTCACATCTATGCAGTTCAGCCACAGTGCAATTTGAAAAAAAGAGTTGTGTGCATGTTTGAAGAGGTTCGATAAGCTCTATAGACTTGAATTGAAAACACATATCAAATGGTTATCTGTTCCAATACATGTGTGATTCCAATGCGTTCTTGATAAGTTTAGCCAGTGTTACAGAGGATTTTTTTAAAATAGATTTTTTTTTAACATATAAAAAAGTCATTTTAAACATATATTTTTACATATATTTGTAAATGCATTCCAAAAATGTAGATTTGTATTTTTAAAGACATACAGTATATTTTAAATGTATTTTTAAAAATATTTTCCTATATTTTGTAATAAAAACGCATTTCAACATACAGTATATATATATATATATATATATATATATATATATATATATATATATATATTTATTTTTTTTTTTAAATATATTGAATATGGCCAAAATTGTAGCATTTCAAATATATCTCAATATATTTGGGAAGAATATTTTTTAAATATATTTCAAATATATTTAACTTGAGGTATGGACCCATTTTTATTGTCACAACAAATGTGTCCTCAAAAGAATGGCAACCAATTTTTTTGGGGGTAACACATCAGGGCCCCTTTAATAGGGCTAAAAAAACTAAATTATGTAGTAGTTATCTTAGTTCTACATAAGAGTTCTGTATAAATAGATAATGGTTTGCTCAGGAACTCCCATGTAGGCTAGGCTCAAACTGACACGGGTCCAGGAACAAGTGTAAATTGTATGCATTCCCCGACCTGCAGGCAAAATGTGCTGCTCTTCAGCGATGCATGGGGGTGCCATTCATTCCTAATGCCACCCCCATGCATAGGAAAAGGTAGTGCCATGGCACCATGTGGTTTTGTGTGGCTGTATTTTTGAAAAAGGATCAAAGGACTTTTGCCTCATATTTCCTGCAGGTAAATGAATGGGCTGCTGTGACCACACAAACATGCTTGCACAGACCCACTAAATGCAGGGGGGTCAAGCTGGCGGCCCTCCAGCTGTTGCGAAACTACAAGTCCCATCATGCCTCTGCCTTTGGGAGTCATGCTTGTAACTGTCAATCTTGCAGTGCCTCATGTGACTTGTAGAAAAAAAAAAATCATACATTATTTTTACTGTTGTGGGACCTGTTTTTTTAAACATATTTCTATTCTTGGATGTTATCTTTGTAAAATAAACACTGTAGAAGCTTGAAAAGTTCTAAGCATAACAGAATGCAGGGTGTGTAACATAAAAGACGATGACACTACTGCTGATCACTCACCATTTATTGTCCCTGTGCCATTGCCCGGATGCAGGGTGCTAACGAAGGATGTGCTGGTAATGGTCGTATTAGTTGTATATGTAGAGCCTGTGAATTATTTATTTACATGTTAGAGTCCAATCATTATCTGTGTCTATATATAACTGACTGCCTGAAAAGTTTTGGATATTTTTAAAAAGCATTTTCGAAGTCCCACATTTTACTTAGTTGACAAATGTAAAGAAATGTTTCCAACCCTTGTACAATGAAGTGAATTTCTAATGTAAAGAGAAATCCCTTGTTGTAGTGGAAACACACTCCTTTTTTTCTCTCATTTCCTCTTCCCCTTGCACTCATATGCTCCTACAATAAAGAATGTATACCCTGTAGATGTGCCCTGTTTTGGAAAGTGACGGAGTCAGTTGGAGTGTTGGTTTTCTTAGTTGACGTTGGAGCACATTTTCTAATGTAATAGTTAATAAATCTACATTACTGGACTGCACCCAACACTCAGAATCATCAGACTCCTATATTCCACTATCCATTGTTTCTCTGACCCTGACAAAGATTTCCCACAGCCCTCTTTACTGCTTAAAGCCTTGGGACCCTATAGTCCCTTTATTAACTAATTTCTAAAAGGATA